TTTTCCTTTGGACTCTCTGTACTCAGAGTCCATGAAAATCCAGTCAGAGTACACGGAGTCCAATCAAAGTCCATGGACTCTGTAGAGTACAAAAGTACGAGAGTACGTCGTTTCCCCCTTGATATTTCTCACAAGTTTTGGCTTAGTGGTGGATGCATTTCAGTCTAAAAGAAATTTTCTCCATTGTATTATTCGTTTTCATAGTGAACTCTAACTTAATGGGTTAGATTGATAATATAAAATCAGCATATAGAGAATCATAGTCTTTCGATGTCAAATTTAAATGTGATGGACATCTACGATTTCACGATATGTATCCGTATGATGATGAATAATGTATTTCTCGAATAAATCGTATGGAATTTCAACATTTCAGTTTAGGGAACTTAGGTTTTTCAATAAATACAGTATAAATCGCAAGTTCTTCTTCGCAAACGAAATTAAAATTTTATAATTTTTTTAACCGTTTGAGTCACATCGTAGGAAAAATACTGCACATGTTTAATAATTAGTTTTCTCAACATAATTCATTAAAGTTATTAATTAATCTTATAGAAAAAAAACTATAAAGAATACTTTAAAATTTTTGCAAACTATGTATAAAGAAGATACATAGTTGTCTGAGAAACAGTTCTACTGTGTTTTTTTTTCGAAAAAACAAGATATAAAGAAGTAGCGTTTCCAGTCAATCTACACAGTATACACTTGTTCTTAACGATATTTCGAAAGCTCACTTGAAGTGGGCATTCGTAGCTCTATAATAAGTCAATTAATTAATTCACACTCAGTACTTTATTTCTGTAGGTATTCTTCGCCAACTCATTCTGCATTGAATATTTTTTTTTGTACAAAATTTCTAATTATCCTCAGTTTTTAGTTATAAAATTTCATTCTTGTAGAGTTTTAGATAGTTGATTTGGATAAATGAGTGAAGGATACAAACACTCAAACAAGAATGGCAGACATTATGATAAAAACTTGGTAAAAAAATACTACTTTCTGTATGTAAGAATGACAACATAAATTAAACAGTCCATGATTGATTTTGACAATAGAAAAACATACAAGGCCTAGAGACAACTTCAATGTTAATCAGTTTTTAGTTAAACTCAGTTTATCAGTGTACTTGTCAATATTTTCTCCATCATAAATCTATATTTATAATTCTAGCAATTCTATGAAAGTTAATTTTTAAAATACTTACACTTACCATCTTTACAATCGTCAGAAGAGATGGGGCAAGGAGGTAATGGATTATACCTTCGGTCGTCTATAAAGAGTGTCAGGAAAACAGGAGGGAGGATAAAAGAGATGCTAAATTAAAATGGATATTTAGCAATTCATTTTGCTATTGTAAGCATTTTTTAAAGAAACTTTAACGTGCATGTCCAGAAAGATGAGAAGGGTTAGTCAAAATTTGCCAGGGCTATCAAAACAAGTGTTTTTTTTTATTGCACTTCCTTAATAGATGACCTTCAAGTAAGAAAACGAAACGGATTGTAGTTGAGAATGGAAAAGTTTTATTCTGGTGCAATGATATTATGGAAAATAAGTTTTAAAAAAGGACTATGTAATATTCAACAAGAATCTGCTTTTCCTATAGACGACAATGGTAGTTGAAGTTGCTTAACTGATCACTACAACTATGTTAGCTTTGTTGTTGATATTGTGTTTGATGTTATCGGTGAACTGGGCTTACTATGTCTTGATGATCCGTTTCAATAATTATTCGTGATAATTAATTGGTTAAGTGAAGAAGGCAATCATGATGATGTGACACAATAATACATTATTGGAAGTTTAAGAAAGATCAACTAATGAGATAGAAAAAGCAGATCGTATCAACCCTTTCAAGTTTGCATCCTTATGAAATGTTCAATGATGAGACGAAGTCAAGGCGCTACATGGCCTTTAACGACTTGACCCGCTTGATATTAATATAGATTTTGTATTCGAAAGAATATTGCTATTACTTTAGCATCTAACAGTCTGTCTTACTAATTTTTCATGGCATTTTATAGAAAGGTCTAAACAGTAATAAACAAATTTGCATGTCTCTATGCACATGCCCAGTTTATTTTATTTTTTATGTGTGTCATTGATATTGATGACGATGGTAAAGCAAAAAAATAACCAACCTAAGTCTGCCATCCAATTGGCAATTCCTTTAGTTAATGTCTCTTGTGATGATCAGAAAAGTGAATTGCTGTTTGATTAATTTAAGTTTCATAGTTTTTTGAGTACATAAATGATCTTGAACAAGTCAAATTCACAGATGACAATATAGGATCAAGAGAAGAAGAATTTTAGACTATCTCTAATAAAATGGTGTGCTTTTTTAGAGCCGAATCAAGACAGTATCACCATTTTCATTGCTGCGATATAATTGTGATCCTATGAATATTAAAGTTTATTATAAACGTCGACTTATTGTGATCGAAATGCAATCCGTATTGATCTTGTTTAAATCAAGTTGAATAATCAAGGAAATATATTAAAGAATATTATAGAGTAATCTTCTACACCCGTTTTATGAATTAATTATTGTCTGATTATTTTCACGAGAAAAATGTCGCACTATTTTCTTATCTAAGATGATCTGAGTTTTTTTTAAATACGGAACTTGTTGATTTGAATGGATAATCTATATTGAAAGAGTATAATTGATAAATCATAGGTATAATCAAGTTAACTAATGTATATCTGAAACAGAAAAGAAATAGAATTATTTTCAATATTGTAGAAGCTCGAGCTTTGCTTCAGACAGTTCATACAAGATAAAAAAAATGCACTTATATTAGGATTTCTTTTAAATTGAATTTATCTACCTTTTATCATTGTTGACATGTTTGCTTTCAGTCTTATTACTTTCACGAACGAAAATAAAGATAAGAAAAAAAAATATTGTATTGCATCGTCAATATTCTGTTCTAGAATGACATCTGATTGTTTTGACAGGAAGAATTCACGAAAATCAAGCAACGAAGATATTCGACTTGAAGTAAAATAAATTATACCTTCGTATTATTTTGTTTAACTTTCCATGGATATTTAGCATACATTAGAGGGAAAAGAATATCCAATATATGATGTTCCCAAACAATACAACGGTAAAATTGTTATAAATGTTCCCGAACGTCGATTTGGTCCTCCACAAATTAATAAACAATCTCAAGAATATAAAATTCATCTTGAACAAATGGATTATATTAACAAACATAGTGAATTAAAACCATGGTTGGATTCAATTCTTACACATCGATTGATGCAAACTTTTCATGGAGATCAGGGACATCCTCAACAACCATATCAGTATGTTTTCAAAAGTATTTTTATTGATTAATATATATTTTTTATCATCAGATATATATATATATATATATACAGGGTGGCCCAAAAGTAAGGAAAAATAGTATTTTTATCGATTTCCATCTTATAGATTGTTGGTTAGGTCTGATATTTCTACCACATATACTAGGTGTGAGAGATAAAAGGTTGAGCATATGAACGATATCCAGATGTAGTAATCTANTTAAAGTTAAAGTGCACTTTTTCTTATAAAAGTAATCTTCTGTTAGAAATTTGTAAAACTTAATAAACATTCATAAAAGTATCAACAACTAGTTATGGGCTATGTAACATGACTATTCATAGTCATCAACTACCATATAACGGGTCTACCGTTGGTTCATCAACTACTGTATAACGGGGGTATCCTTAGGCCACCATGTACGATGTAATGGGAGTACCCTTGGGTCATTAACTACCATATAACAGGGGTACTCTTGGGTCATCAATTGCTACATAACGAAGGTACTTTTGGGTCATCAACTACTACATAACAGTGTACCATTGGGTCGTGAACTGCGATATAACGGCAGTAGCCTAGAGTCATCAGTTGCGAAATTACGGTGTTAGCTATAATTGTTGATTTGCTGTATACGGGTAGCTACATAGCAGTTCATCGAGGATATAAGGCCGGTGTTCACAACTCATCATACACCATATAACAGGTGGACGCAATGCTCTTGTTTGAGTATATAACTTGTTTGGTGATAAACTTTCATAGATTATATCGGAGTATCGATGACGATGCATGGGCATCACAAGGAAGTGTGAAGAACTCGTCATCGACTACGAACTAGTTGAGACACTTAGACCGATACTGTTCGTCTTGTAGTAGTCTGGTACTGTGCTCGTGGGATGGTTGTTGGTGCTTCTCGTAGTCTTCGCTAGATAACTAGGTTGGGAAAAAATGATAAGAAAGTCAATGCTAAAACTAAGACCAAGATTAACATTGATAAATTCATCTAAAGTTGCTGGTAAGATATCTGTCAAGCTTAGTGGAGCGCTGTTTACTTCATATGTTCTACCGTTATTCACCTGGTTATATCCATTTCTTCCATTTTTACAGAAAACTAATGCACGAACTCTGCCACTTTTACCACACACGTTAAAAACAAGTATATTACTGTCTAGGATGAAGTGAGTGCTCCCTTACATACGCGTTTGACAAATTTTCTCTAGTGGACAGATGCGTTAGGTATTATAATAAATATTTGGTAGCGTTAGCAGACTCAATTGATGGAAAAATGTTCTTTGAACGTGCATCATTGAACGAGTTTAGACAATCCTGGGCACAGAGGAGATTTTTAATTAGATGTTTATGAGTTTCCAAAAAGTATATCGAAAAAATGACAGTGTTGGAAAAATGCATTAAGTGAATTTCTGCTAACTCATCCATAGTCTCTATCCCCCACTATGAAATTAAAAAAAATTGAACTGCTCCAAAATTTTCCAGAATCTTTTCTCAAACGAAGGTTATGAGGCAGGAGGAAGACAAGAAAAGGAACTCAAGCTCTTTTTAAATCTTTTTGCAAACTCACAAAACTGACGACATAATGTAAAAGTACTGATCACTCTTATTCTTGCTGTATCTTATGTTCTAGAACTTTCTCACTGTGACTGGTATCAACGAAGTGGCTCTGTCTTATATAATTATTCTTGTTAGACATCCATATGGTTGTATATCTCTATGTTTCCTATCTATTCTTTGTTTTCTCTCTTTTTTGTTTTTCTGTCCTTTCATAATTTATTGTATGACTTTCCTTTAATTATTCTTTCTCTGTTATGTAAGGAACAATAGGTCACTAGTTGCTGCAAAAAAATGCTTCAAACTAGTTATGATGCAAAAATAAATCTTTTATAATGTAGTATGAATGGGACGGACAGAAATAATTAAATTTTTCATTTTTCATTCGAATTACCCCAGAAAGCTACATTCATTATATATATTTAGCTTAAAGCACAGAACTTTCCAAATTATCTATAAGCTATTAGAAACCATGGCGTAGGTTGTTTCTCTTTTCCAAGTCGATTACTGTAAATTAGCTTTTCCTGAAATTTGAATCTTGATGATTTTAGAACGATATAAAATGATGAGTCTTTATTATGTCCATATTAATAGATATTTGTTCCCTGTGTTTTTTTTTCGTTATAATTTTAATTGAGTGCCATAGCTATAAACCATGGTATCATCCTATATGAATGCATTTTTCTAGCTGAAATATCTTCAATAGTACATTCTTGAGTCATTCTGTCAGTCGACCAGTGAATTTTCTCATAAAACATAGGACTAATTAATAATATATTTTTCATACCGTCTTTCCTTAGATAAATACATAGCTTGTTACATAATCTCAGGATATACTTAATGTTTTTTTACATGTTACCAGACTTGTATATGATCTATGTATGAATGAAGCCTGTTCGTGATACAAAGTACCTTTCGGCGTTGTACTTTTTTTTTCTCTTGAAATTTCAAAAAGGAGAACAGAATCATATTTAAGATTCCATTACGCATGATGCAGATACTGTGACTCTTGGTATAGATTCAGACAACTTTTTCAGCATTCGAAAGTCATTTTTTATTGATTAAGTATCAATCCGACTAGGAATAAATTGAAATTCATCAATAGTATAGTAAAATTCTTCACGGCATCTTCGTCCTTTTAAAATATTAAAACAAATATGACTATATTATTCATTGACATCATCTGTCATCGATGGATCTGACAAAGCATACCATCGGATGGGATCATAAGTATGCTACTCCCTAAAGTGACAATTTTAATAAGTTAGAAATCTAGAGTAGAAAGTTCTGCACATTTTAATATATTTATATATATATATATTTGTTGAATGAAAAAAGAACTTTTCCAGGACTAAACAGTTCTAGGAGATCTAGCATTTTTTAGTATTTTGAAACAATAACTATGGAAACCATACTTTTTCTTTTTGTAAACGTAATATGAAAACCAATAATGAAAATCAACGTGGTTTTCATGCTCTACAATATAACACATTCATTATGTTTATTGATTATTTTGGGGAGGTTAAAAATAGGTTCACTAGATACGATTCTTGTATCACAGTGACGAATTTCGATATTTTCCTATTATACTTTTGTATTTATTAATCAAATTAGTATTGAAAGTCTTTATGATCAAGAATTGCGCCATATCGCGCTCTATAAATTTATGTAGTTTTACGAATAAAACTGTTCTTCTATGTGATACGAGAATTGTATCTAGTGAACCTATTTTGAACCTTCCCAAACTAATCAATAAACATAATCAATATGTTATTTTGTAAAACATGAAAAATCACATCGATCTTCATTATTAGTTTTCATATTACGCTTACAAAAGAAAAAGTATGGTTTGCTTAGTTATTATCCAAAATACTCAAAAATAGTAGATCTCCTAGAACTATTTAGTCCTGGAAAAGTTTCCTTTGCATTTAACAAAAAAAATAATTAATAAATACTTCAAAATATGCAGAACTCTATACTCTAGATTTCTAACTTATTAAAATTGTAACTTAAGGGGGTGGCAGATTTATAGTTTTATCCAGAGGTATTCCTTAAGTTGCAAATGATAATTAAATTTTCTATAAATGAGCATTATTGTCATTGAAGATAACAGTATTATCTCAGAAGTAGAATAAGGCTACTCTTTTTCATACTTCTGATTGCTAGGCAGACATAAAACTTGAAATTTTTCTGTGTTGTAATTATTTCAAGAGCCCATAACAGAAACTTTCTTCTTAAATGGTAGCAGTATCTCTGACAAAAACTAAAAAAGAAGAATTTTATTACACTCTTCACCGAGACTTTCTTGACTGAAAATTTGACAGTGCCTATATACTAATGACCAGAAATATTTCATAATTTTATTTGCAGAACTTCTTTTATTAAGTTTTGTGCTTACCTCACTAATGTCTCTATAATCTTCAGAGAAAATATTTGCTTTCATTATCAGATCTATGAGTCACTCTCAGCTTTAGTAAAATATTATAGAGGAAGAAAAGTACGGGAAAATTTTCTTTTACATTTTCTATTATGTATACTTTCATACATTTTCCGATTTAATCTTTTATACATTTACTAAACTTTGATTTCTCTTCACTGAAATCATCTGATTACTCGAATTATTTTCTTTGCGTTGTTATGCCAATATGTGCGCACAACTCTTTGTACCCTAACAAATCTCAGTGGAAACTTAGAATCTTTTCTATTTAACGTTGAGTGTTCATAGAAATTATTGTTTCATTTTCCTAGCAATAAGATTTTTAAGATTTGCTTCTATGTTTTCCGATTTTGAAAATTTTAAAATCTTGAAAAACATCTAAACAGTTTCAATTCATCAACCGTTAATTTTTGAATATTCCTGTACAACTATTATAGCGATTTTATCAGATTAAAAAGAAAATGAATTCTGCAGAATAATACTTTTCTTTTATCTCATTTTTCAAAAAACATGATAGAGTAGGAAGCATGATCTCAGACGTTGTGAAGATTTTTGACAAGTAGCTAAACGGAGCAGCTTTCAAATCATATGTCAACTTCTTCTTAATGTACTCCTTAATACTTAAGGAATACAGGCAAAAATACATATCAAGTAAGTTTAAAAGATTGTAAAAGTTTTCATCAATAATATACGTAAGACTGTCAAAATTTTGGATGAATTTTTTCTTGTGTTATCAGAAACATATTGAATCAGCTACTTTTAGTATTACCTAAAGTAACATTCTCTCTATCCATAATAATAACTTTAAGTTCTTAAAGAGTCATGATATTAACTATCAATAGACCTGTATCGTTTGCATAGATATATACTCTGTACCTAAGAACCTTTGGCTTTCAATCATTTGATGGAAAATATTTTGAAGATTACTAATACATCCTCATCGTCATATTCCAAAAAAATTAATTTCCTATTTTGTTTTTATCGCCCATGTAACAAAAATTATCGGAAAAGTCAGATTTTAATCGATTTTTTTCTGATTAAAAATCGATTAAAATGGTACAATTTTAATCAGATTTTAACCCGATTTCTTGATTTTTAATAAATTTAAATCGATTTTAATTTTGTGACTAAAAAACGCGTTTGTCTCCAGTTTTCACTTAGAAATTTGTTTTTTTTTTATTATTTTTTCTGACTCCTTGCGTCGACAAATGGTAAGTATAGTGCTAGCCTTACCCTTGACGTATTTCTATATACGGCATCGATTTACACTCACTCGTGTAAGCCATAATGCCGATATCTTAGATTAAAATCGATTAAAATTTATTAAAAATCATGAAATCGGGTTAAAATCTGATTTTTCCGGTCATTTTTTTACATGGGTGTAGCTACTTTTTTTTCTAGGGATATATATATATATAGTTCGTGGTAGAGTATAGTAACTTATATTTTACAGTTATTTATATCACGTTGTTCACTAGAGACTTGTTAATCTATTGTATGATGCTTACGAACGAAAACAAAGTAATTGGACTTGCACTTAATGTGATTACAGCTGGTGAACTTGTATTTGGATGTTTAATATCATTGATAGTGATTATTATTATTATCTATCATTGGTTTCACAATCAGATTAAACGAGAAGACAAACCAATTATTATATTGTCTGCTAATATTTATCTCAACGGTTTTGGCTACATGGTATTACTTTTCATATTCAATATTCGAACAATACTGGGTGATATGTATCAAAAAGAATTCGATTCACCACCGTGTATATTATTGGGATACATGTATTCGGCTGTTTTTTGTGCTTTTTACATGTCTTTCATCAATCAGGTGAGTATTTGTTATGTACATTATTATAAAACTAAAAAGAAAACTCCCTTTATGTTCAATACTTCTCATACCCAAAGTATGTTTGCCGTAGTGCTTCGAATGAGTCATGAATATTCTATCAATATTTCAAGGTTTTCGCTTATTTCTATCTCTCCAGATCCAACAGGTACGATCTTAAATGGCCGTATGCGGTCACGGTAATATGCGATCATAATATTGAACTATTAAAAGTCAAAATACGATAGATGACAGACCTATATGAACTCTATATGCTTTCACCTAGGTAAATATTGTTTTTAAGAGTAATGTTGAAAAATGGCGCAATTTCTCTAAGGAACACTAGGACATTTAATTTCGAAATGCGTCTTCAATTTTGTATGGAGACGGGTCTCAGTTAGTATACTTTGCTGTGGAAGTTCACACCTATCTATTATACAGTTTCTAAAGTAAGAACGTCGAAATCTGTATTTGACTTGTATGAAACAAGATGCTTTTACCATAGTCATAGTTAAGGATAGGAATTATTAGAAGATTTAATACCTGCACAACATTCTATTTCAATTGGAATCTGTTTCTGTATACCATTTCAAGTAGAAATTCAATATTGTTGTTTCTTTTGTTTCTGAGAAAAATCATACCATTTTTCTGAAAACTTCATCGAAATTTAACATCTTGTCAGCAATAAACGAACGATACAAAGTCTTTATAGGATGCTCATGGTTCACTAAAACTTACATGAAGTGCATAGATCACGCGTAAAATCCGTTGGATACTTGAGGAAAACTTTTCTGTTAGAATGTCTAAATGGCACGGGTGATTATATATTCAGTTTAAAGAGTCTTTTATGTTTGTTTGATTTTACTCTTAGGCTTTTTTTCGTCTTTGCCGCATTGTATATTCAAATAATCGATGGTTGCAATTATCATGGTTATATATAATTATACCTCCTATTGAGCTGATTCTAACTTTTATTCTCATGTGTCCTATTTATCTTTGGAATGATATTATCTATCTACCGAATGAACACTTTTGTTATATACCACTTACTAATATTCGAGGTTTTCTTTGGATTTTTCTTAATATTTATGGCATTCCTGTTATATCGCTGTCATTAATCTATTTTCGTATCACAATATTCATTCGAAAACATTCAATCAATCAAACAATAATCATTAAACGACGACAAGATCGAGATTTGAATGCTTTTCGACGTATTCTCATGATCGTCGGAATATTGTTTGTTCTAGGACTACCGACTATATCTCTTATATTAATGATGTTTATCACAGGGAAAGAACACCCTTTGAGTTTCCGAGTTATGAGCATTTCAATTGGAACATCAATGGCAGGATTGAGTGTAGCATTAGTATTTTCTGTTATTCAGCTGAAAAATATTGTTTGGAAACCATTAACATCAAGTAAAGTAATGCCTATCAATGGCACTTTAACAGTTTCAATCCCAATGAAAGCCAATGTTACTACTTTGCTATATCAGCATTCATCATTATTATAATATTATAATTTTAGTTTTTATTGTCGAATTATTAAGTTAAAATCATCAAATTAAAACTATTTTACTATTCAATATGCTATAATTATCTTGACAATGCTTGTTTATTCCTTAAAACGCAAATGACAAAAGCTTCTAAGTTCGTTTATTTATTTTGTTTAAAATTTTGAAACCATACTACTCAAAGTTAATAAGAATTTCTGAAAACTGTGCAATATTTAGAATATTTGTTTTGATGTTTGTATTTTTAGTTTATTTTTGTTAACCTGAGTCCTTCTACATTAAAAATAAAACATTTAAAATAATCTTCATCTATTTTTATTATACGCTTATTTATTGTAAATCGTTTGACAAACACAGACATAGTACAAGCTAAATAAAGGTAACACGACATAAACGTCTCTAACACTCTACTGAAAGGATATGATCATGGTAAACATATCGTAAACAATCATACAATATGTGGGGCATGGATAGAATAATGCTTTTTTTCATGCATTTGTATAGGGAAAACAACCAAAATATACCAATAATTACAGTGCTTGCTAATAGAAATTGCTGTTTGTGTTCTTTTGTTTGTATTAATGCATTTCATTTATTTAATGAACTTTTATATATGGTAAGTAAGTGAGGACTATAGCAAAGACCTTGCTGCCATTTTCGAAGTTTATATCGAATTCTATCGTAATCCAACGATTCATGAAAAGTAAATTTTGTTTTGCTGATTTACTCAACTTGCAAGATAAAAATAGAAAATTCTTCAAAAACAGTTTGTCCTAAACAACGACGCAGCGAAGAAGTTATTGTAGACCGACAATTGCTCGAGTATTTTTCTGTAGAAAGAGTTTTCTGTTATACTATGTGAAAGATTCCACTTTCATAAATCTTCGTATATAAAAATATTTTCAATTGAATATAAAATGACTGTACATTGTGTCGGCCAACATAAATCACTCTTATTCCGTTTCTGTTGGGGACATTTTCTCTAATTTTCACAACACACCAACATCCCAACATGGCGGTGATGTGATGATCAGTGATGAAGATCGTCTGAACAGATTTGTCTAACATATGGATGTTTTAATACGATATTGACCGTATGATTCTTCAAAAATTTCGAGGTCAGCATATTTTCGTTCATGTTTTAGTATCATTTTGTAGCTCTCAATAAGCTCTCTCTACCCGTAAAGAATGGCGCTTTCGCATTCAAGTCAAGTGGTGATCATAGGCACTGCATGATGCTATTTGATGCAGAAATCTGCTGTGTACAGGCTGATTAAGTTTCTGATCGAATACACTATGAAGTGTCCACAACAATTGTCCTTATGAATTAAGAGCAGTATAGTGTTAAAGAAAGAAACATCAGTTCTAAGATGAAACTGGTTTTCAAATAGAACATGTTTGTCGATCAACTGTACTCCTCTCTTTATTTGAAAAGCATTTATTCTTCGAAATTGTACTCTTCTATTACAGGTATAGTTCAACAAAAAGCGACTTTTGTGTTTATCCACTGATGATGATGTTGTCTCCTGTTCTTTTGATTTGATTCTTGTGGGAAACATTGATGAAACCCACATTTATGAATTCTTTCTTTACGTTTTACAAATTATAATGTAGATAAGATAAATATAATAAATAATTGAATATAATTTTTTCAAATTATTGTAATATTTCGTAAGGATAAGAGTAAAAAGAACGAAGAAAAACAATAAGAGAAAGGAAATGAATATGAACCAAAATTGAATATTATGCAAAGCCTTTTGAATTATTCTTTTTCAAGTGTTCCAATGTTTAAAACAACCAGTTCGTTTTTTGCAGCATAACTAACGACTTGTCTGAAAAGAAAACAGCAAAATGCAAAATGCCTGTAATATTGTCCCAATCGGATTCTTATTTAAAACGGATGTATCGCTTTTTTCAAAATTGTTCTACCTCTATTGAACGTCGAAGGAGTCTTGTAGCATGTCTACTGGGATTTTGCCGACTAAAGCACGATTTAAACTGAATTAATCTGTTGAAAAACATAACTGGGATATCATCTAGTGGGTCTACCTCAAATATCTGTAGCCAAGTTTATTGGAAGTAGAAACCGAAATCAGCCAAAGATGGAGTGTACGTAAAATGAAGGTTTATATGTTTACCAAAATCTATTTTCCTTCTATTCTTTTTTATTTCATGTTAAATCTAGTAATGAGTCGTTAGATCTCGTTTGATTTTTTTCTAAGAGTATATCTAGTGTTTTTGTTCTGCTAAATCTTGAAAAAAACGTCTTACATGCCTATCTATGAACACTGAGAGATACTTATTCAAAAGAAGTATGACCCTAAGTTTGTCGAATTCGTGTTGAAGATGCTCGAGATGGAAGCATATACAGGTTGCTCATAGAATAACTGGCTACGATTTATTCTTGATTATGTTTGGAAGATATGATGAATGGAAGAAGAGTACATGTGACTGGGCTGATAATTGACGAAAAACTATCGTTCTAAATGTGGAAGGATGTGATTTAAGCCAATATCCACGCTCACATCCAAAATGTTAATGTCATTGTTGACAGAAAATAGAAAACTAATGTCATTATTATGAATATCTTATTTTCCTGGATGATGTCGACATTCTCTCTTAATTAAAGTATATATAACCTGTGGTTCTGTTTTCTGCGTCACTTTTCTTTTCGCTTTATTCATTCTTAAAGTAATTAATTCACGTCAGAAATTTTTGTTTCTTACTTCAATCTATTCATTTGAAGCACTAAATCTTTCATAATCATTCTTTTTTCTTTTCTCCATCAACTATGTTGATGAGTGTAGCCTATCGATGGTCATTCCTATTACATTTCAAATTCACCAATAAGTATACTAGTTTATTCTTTCATTATGGATACTTTCTCTATCCATTTTAACTCTTTTCTTTGTATTTTACATTGTAACTTCATGCTTTCGTTTTCTTATCTGTAGTTATCTCTTTTCGATGTATTCTGCATCAACTACTCTTGATCTTGCATGTGGCCTCACAGATTGTAATGTAGTATCACTTTTAAGTGAGGATTCTGTTATTCGTATGAATAACATAATTGAGCGATTTAAGTTGATCGAATTGCCATTGGAAAGTGGTTTATTTCAAATCATTGGGAATTCTTTCTTACAAGTATTTCTTCCATCATGTCCAACAAACTCAACATTGCGTGCACAAAATCATATTTATTATATGTTAACATCTTTACGTCCGAATAAGCCGCAATTAGCATATAACTATTTACATTCAATAGATCATGCTGATGATTTGCACATATTAGTCGAAGGCGATAGTGTTGATTATTACTTATTTTATGATGATGGTCATGTTGAGCATAAAATCTTAGGTCATGATTATGCTGCTGGAGAGGTACCAGTGGTTACAACTCCAGGTTCAATTGCTTCTAAAGCTCTAAAACTACGGCATGGAAAAAATGGATTTGCTTTCATTGTCAGCGTCGTAACACCAGAATGGTCATCTGATCGATGTAGAATCGGAGCTGGACAATCGTTTATTGACAAATACACTGGAAAAGAAGCATGGTGTACGGAAGTATTTCTAAAAGAATTAATTGGACCAAACTGGAAGGATAACAATACAATAGAGAATCGATAAATACAGTTAATTACTATCAGTTAGCGCAGAAATCGTTATGTGAAATTAATTTCGAACATGCTATAACTAGATAAAGTTTGTGCCACAATCTTTCTTTTTATACTGGCATATGACGATAATAATAAACTAAATGTATTGATAAGGACGTCAAGTTCAATTCATCTATATTGAATAGGCAGATTTATAAAGAATTTATCCACTATTAAACGAGCTTCTGACTTATGATTTACCATCCTAAGTCTTATTTGAAAGTAGATAATGGACAAAAAAGTTCATGTTGAGTTTGTAGCTGCTCTGAAAAACCTTCTAAGAAATTGACATGAAATATATGTGGTTTTAGAGTGAGAACTTTGTTCTTGATGACTGACAATGTATTTTTGTATGTGATATAACTGATATCGATGTTAAAGATCGCATTTGGTCAATTGTTTTCTACGGTAAAAGCAGACTTGAACTAAAGCTGGACTATGTGTAAAAAAAAAGGGGTGTATGCAGTTATATTTAGAATAAAAATGATTGATTGAACTTTCATCGATTTTGTGAAACAAGAGAAGGTTGTCTTGGTAGAATGAAGTGAGCCTCAATTGATTGTCTGTTACATTTCAACTAATCTACTTGAACTGCAGTCTTTTATTCTTTCATAACAGTGACACTAATTGTATTTCAGACGATCAGTAATTTATGTGCATTGTACTTTTTCTATTTTTTCTTTTCCTTAGTTTTTGTCATTACGCTTACGAAAAAAATGCGGTATATACCACGCTGAAAACAAATCTCGGTTTTCGTCGGTAGCATGTCAACGTGAGAGTCAGACCATTTATTCAGCTTTTGAAAACCGTTAGAAACCGCGGTATTTTTAAGATGCCGTTTCTAAAAAACCAAATAAGCGGTCTGACTCCCGCGTTTACATACGACCGACGAAAACTGAGATTTGTTTTTAGCGCAGTATACAACAGTTTTTTCATAAGAGCACCCTGAATCAGTTGAGCCGACTCAGTGTGACCAAACCTCTCTGAGCTTCAGGCAAATCCAGGTCAGCTGCCCTTCAGGAAACGGTGTAGCGAGCTTTTACATGTCCCATTATCCCAAACTCACTTTTGCAGTAATAGATTTATTCGGAAAATGGCATATTTTCTTTTTATAATTTGACTTCTGTTAGTTTTCGATGACAAGACGATTGGCAAATAATAACAACCAGTGTTCTTGGTTAGTAACTGAGTTGGTCGATTTGTACGATTCAAAATAAAAAACGACCTACGTATTCTTTTGGATTCTGTTTTATTGAATATTGTCTGGTACATCGACGTCAAAAGAGAATGAGGCTGAACAAAAAATCTACTCGAAATCACCTGAAATTTCGCCAGAGATAAATCAAGGTTCATTGTGATTTTTGAAACATCAAGCAATCGGTGAGTTTGATACTATTATTGCAAAAATATGTTCACCGCGATTCATGACAACGCAGTCAACCTCAATATGTGATACCCCTATCACAATCATGTTCAACGCAGTTTATGAAACTAAGAAAAACTGCGATATATAATCCCGTGGTGAGTTAAAAAATACCGTGGTTAATCGCGGTTTTACTCAAAATTCTTTTCCATGGGCAGCTTACAATAACAATCAAATCTTACACAAATATATGCTGCGTCAGATCTGTTTTTATTCTTTCTTTTTCTTAGGCTAGATAATGCACTGCATCGTTTTGACAAATAATATTATCATTTTTCATTGCATTATTCTTTTATTCCTGTAAATGCTATAGTGTTAAGTGATGTGTAATCTGTTAAGTCTTTTCTGTAAAACTACAATCAACAACGAATATTTTGTTAAGTTGCCAAAAAATTTAATCTCATAACTGTAGTTTGAGTGAAACCAACGTGGAATGATTCTCGTTCTATTTTGTTAAATGCCGTTTAGAAATATTCACCATAGAAATAGGAGATGTCAGTATTATCGAAGTAACAACACATCTGTTTTGATAAAACGCAATAAAGTAATTGATAGAATAGCAATATCTTGCTAGACTTCTTAAGTTTTTATCGCCATATTAATGGTTCCTAAATTATATTTTGTTAGTTGTTCTTTGCTATTAAAGTATTGCATGGCTGAGCCAAATATGATATATAATTGAATGCTTCAAGACTACAGCATTGAATTTCATGCTTTGAGACATCTTAGAAGATTACTGGAGATGCACACTATCAACTTTATAACGAGCAAGTTACATAATCGTCGATCAACAATCAAATCCAATAAGTTTTCTTGCTCAACTCATTCTATATAGTGAGTCTTGTTCTGTACCAAAACTCTATTTATGGACAATGACTGGTAATATAGTATTACTGTTGCATACATGATAATCATATCATACGGAGATCAAAATAAAAGTAGCTAATTTTAGGAGATGTAATGCTTGATTCTTAGATATTCGATGCTTACGAATGAGTCAAGAATACAGATACTCAAAGAAGAATGACAAGTGTTGTGTTAAGAATTTCATAAAAAAAGAGACCATTTTCCGTATGAAAGAATGACAAGAAGTATAGACAACAGGCAGTGACAACATAAATCAAGCAATCCATGATTTATTTTGATAAGAAAAAAATATAAAATAATTATAGACAATTTCAAAGTGCATTATTTTTTAGTCAAGGTTATTTGATCAGTATACTACCAGTATTTTCTCTTTCATAAACTCATATGTATACATCTTATACCTCTAGCAGCTATGGCATTAAGATTATTGTTCGAAATTCTTGCGTTTACTATTGTTACAATTGTCATTATGGATGCTCAAGGAGGAGCAGGAGGATGAGGAGGTGGTGGCTAGGTATCAAGTAAGAGAAAAACATGATGTCAGTTGAGGATTGCAAAAAAATTTGTTGATACTACGAAATAGTGAAGAATAAAATTTTAAAAATCTTTATGTAATATTGAATACAAAATTGTTTTTGTCTATAGATAGTGATGGTGGTGGTAGTGATAAAGTTTGTTTAAGTAATCAATATAAGTATGATGGTCTTATTATTGGTATTGTGTTCGTTGTAATCAGTCAACTGAGCTGTGGCTGCTTCATTCTTGTACGTGTTTCTTATTAGGTAGATTCTTGCATACTAATTCAACTTTTATCAAAGCTGCTTCTTACGATAAATTACTTGAAACGGACAACGAATCAATCTTTCAATCTGGTACATGGGCTAATCGATACTATCAATGCAGAAAATGGCAGAGTCCCCATCGACTACCACTTACTTCTGATGGTATTGAGACGATGGTTAATAGAACTGGACGTGACGATGTGAATGCATACAAAATCACTGAAATTTATTCAACAAAGACACAACTCCTAGGTCTTACTAAGAGATATAAGTAAGGTACAGGTGACTTATCCAAAAATTTGGAACACAGTGTAATGATGCAGTTGTACTGGAATTCAAGTAACAAACAATTCAAAGGTAAATGGTACGCACAAACAGCAAAATATCACGGCAAAGATGCATTCGAACTTAAACTCTCCGATCAACAATAATTAAAAATTGATTTTAAGGTATAATAATTTAATACCATCTACTGTTATGTATTTCAATTACTTTTAATAATCGTCAAAGATAAAGTCATTCTATTAATGATTATAATTAGATTCCAGTTCAATTTTTGCAAGGATTTCCGATCAAAGATCTCAAACTGTGCAATGATTGTATCATAAGAAACCTCTGAGAATTTATTCACATTTTTATTTGAGTTCTTTTTCTAAGAGAAAAAAAATGAACCGTGGTGAACTCCGGTGAATAATTATTGATCCTCATCATTTATGTGATTCTTAAGATGCAATAGAATTCACAGAATTCATGTTTCTTTTTCTATTTCAGATTATAGTAAACTTCGATAGGCTTGAGAGGGCTGAGCGAATACAATTACAAATTGTAATCTCCAGAATGCATATAATCATACACCTGAACAAGCTAGAGTTCCTCTCTTGTAATCTCATGTAATCTCATGTATTTACATATATGTACCCCTCAAAAAGCTAGAATTCGTCCCTTGTAATCGCATGTAACGTCATGTAATGTCATGTAATTACACATATATACCCCTGAAAAAGCTAGAATTCGTTCTTTGTAATCTCATGTAATCTCATGTAATTACATATATAGACCCCTGAAAAAGCTAGAATTCGTCTCTTGTAATCTCATGTAATGTCATGTAATCTCATGTATTTACATATATATACCCCTGAAAACGCTAGGATTCGTCCCTTGTAATCTCATGTAATCTCATGTAATATCATGGAATGTCATGGAATGTCATGTGATCTCATGTAATTACATATATATACCCCTTAAGAAGCTAAATTTCATCCATTGTAATCTAACGTATTCTCATGTAATGCGATGTCATTTCTTACCAGGTCATTGGGTTACATGAGATAGGATTACATTCGGTGACATTACAGAGGACGAATTCAAGCTTTTTCAGACCTACATGTCATGTAATTTCATTACATTACATGACATGGCATGACATTCCATGAGATTACAAGGGACGAAGTCTAGCTTTTTCAGGGGTACATATATGTAATACGATGAGATTACATGACATTACATGAGATTACAAGGGACGAATTCTAGCTTTTTCAGGGGTCTATATATGTAATTACATGAGATTACAAGGGACGAATTCTAGCTTTTTTTGGGGTATATATATGTAATCACATGAGATTACATGACATTACATGAGACTACAAGGGACGAATTCTAGCTTTTTTTGGGGTACATATATGTAATTACATGAGATTGCATGACGTTACATGACATTACATGAGATTACAAGGGACGAATTCTAGCTTTTTCAGGGGTATATATATGTAATTAGATGACGTTACATGACATTACATGAGGTTACAAGGGAGAAATTCTAGCTTCTTCAGTTGTATGGTGATATGCATTTTTGAGATTACAATTCGTAATTGTATTCGCTCAGCTCTGAGAAATGCAATC